GTTGAATTGGGCACTGAAGAAAATAATTCTATTATTGTCTGTCCCTACCAAAGCAAAGGTGCTATGCTCAAACATTTGCTAATTTACCTGTGTGTCTGTTTTCACCTTTAGAGTCTATTAACAAAGACTGCTTTTCCTTCACCTGGAGGAAAGTTCCCTTCCAAAGGACCCCGGCACTTGAGATTTACTCCTGGTGTGGATCCAGATGAGACTGCCCAGACTTCACTAGTCAACATTAATCCCTTTACACCAGAGTCCTATCGACAGATGCTCTTGCTTCCTAATGGCAAGAGGAAGGCCAGAGGAGAGCTGTAAGCGTGCTCTTGCCACATCAAGCTGTTCAACTAAGGGGGTGGAAGGGAGTGGATCTGCAGATCTAAGCACTGATGGCAGAAGAGATGGTAGATTTGTTTTTTCTCTTATGAAATAACCCAATTCAATGCAAGGGATTCACAAATGCAGAACAAACTCCATGGGCAAGTAGTGGTAAATTGGAGGGGGTGAGGGAGGGAACATAATGACTTCTTAGCAGGGAGCATGAATGTAATGAATGATGGAACCTATAACTACAATATTAAGACTGGCACAATGAGAACAAAACTCAATTTGGGGTGGAAATAACCACCTTGCCTTTTCACTTTACAACCAACAAAGATGAAATATAGGTACAGTACAACACAGCTGGCAGTACCCTATTTAAGGGCTGTGAGCTGAATCCTGCCTGTCCCTACAGAACATCTTTTCCAGAACAGCTGATTCAGGTGCAAACGAATACACAGTACAACTTGATTGCAGTGAAATTCTGCCCACTTCAAGTCCCAAAATTCATCTGGGTCTACTTTCAGTAGACAGTGTGCGGTAATCTCTTCCTTCCCCCACCCCCCCACTCCTAGTCTCATATACAGCAGCAAATTGCATGTCTGTACTTCTGTGCTGGTACTTCATCCTTTCTGCCCCTGTTAGAGCTGCTATGGTGGCAGATGCTCTTTCTATGATGGATAGAATACAGAAGCTGAAAGGTTGAGTTTATCAGATCATAAACAAAGATTTCTTAGCCCCAGATTTCATACTGTTTCCTGAGCAGGAGGTTTTTTGGCTTACAAAGCATCTCCTGTGCTTTTACAAAATGATTCTAGTTTGAAGATGTGAAATCTAAGCTTGCGACTGTTGGGAAGTGCATTCACACTCACTTGTGGCTAAACTTTTATCATTTTTAGGGGAGATACCAGCTTAAGAGGTGCCAAGGTAGAGCAAGGGCTGTCTGCCAAGGTAAGTGTCTCTTGTACCAGCAGCTATACAAACAAAAATTACCTTTTAAAGTGTTAATACTTGTAGAAACCCACTGTGCTAGGAATGTCAAACATACAGCCCATGGACTGGATTCAGCCTGTGGAGCAGTTTCATCCAGCCACTGGGGCTCCTGGAAGGACCACAGGGTAGGGTCTACTGCTGAATTCTGGGATGAAGAGCCCTCTTGCATGCATTTTGGTGGCAGTGGGGCATAGCTTTCTGCTACTTGCCCTAGTGCTGGAGGTGAGTCCAGACCTGGCCCATGAGGAGTCCCACAATCCAGATCTGGCCTGGGGGCTCAGTGTGCTTGACGTCTCTGTATTATGGTTTTGTATTACTTAAATGATGGTATCAGAACACTATACACGCATATGGAACAGTGGAGAATCCAGGTGTAATTTAACTCATTAAGGTAGGTAGAAAGCATTTATACTGTGGAAAAGTTACTCCTAAGCCTAAAATAAATTTTATATTTGGACAAATCTGGAATTATCATGTATCTAGAATATCTGTTGGTTAGCATTTCATACCAAAGAAGATAATGCAATGGCCTTGGCTCACATCGCTCACTCAAAGTACCAAAAGCAGTATTTAAAGTTAGTTTTCCTATCCCATGTCCCTGGAAAAAATAAATTATAGTTATGCTGCTTTGGATTACTGGTCAATATGCTGACCAATGTGAATGGAACCATAAGGTTCCAAATCACTAACAATTAGTATGTGAACTTAGATTTTCTTTCACTGTGATATTAACACATTTCTGGGCATTTTTACACATGCTTGGGAGGCGGGGGGAGTTGATTAGAGCAGCTCTCAGGAGCTGCTCCAATTAAAGCACCTGCAGTGTCTCATGTATTCAGCATCCTGGGTGCTTTAACTAAAGCTTTGTAACTATTCGGTGTCCTGAGTACCATTTTGAAGCATGGGGACACTGAATACATGAGGCTGCTAATTAGCGGGCATTGGAGTAGGCACCTGGCATGTGTGTAGGTGCTCTATATGAAAGCAAATACAGATCGTTTTCTGCTGCAGCATTTTTTCTAAATGTTACTGGTACCATTTGAAACAGGAGAGCAAATGCTTCATACTACTAAAATTTAAGCTTAGCCTCTTCTCTGGGAGGGGGAGGATTTTTATCCTAGGCCTTGGCAAGTAAGTACAAAGGATGTTCCTAATAGGTTGAAGATGCTTTGAATAATACTTCACTGAGTCTGGTCTTGCACATGGATGCCTTGAATTATCTCAACTTGTTCACCTGTAGTGGCAGCTTAAGTGACTCGGTGAACACTGAGTCTCTGGTAGACAAGAGAAGAACCTGAACCCCTTCTTACTAAGTGACACTTTCTTTTCCTATTATTATTACTACACATGAATTTAGAGGCCAAGTATACTAACTGACATAGTGAGCAGGGTGTTTAGAACTTCAGCTTCCACCAGCTCAGAATCTGTTTTTGAGATTTGTTTCACTTCATCTTTAATAACCTTGGGCTTGTTCTATACATACATTTAACTAAAATAACTATGGTGGCTTGGGGTTAGGGGAGGAACACTCCCCAAGCAATATGGCTACAAGACTGCAAGATCCTTAATGTGGACTTGCTAATATTGATGAGAGGATGGTGTCAGTATAACTTTTTTGGTTCTGGGACCTGGTTCTAGCTTTATGACCATTCTTTCTTTCAGTGAAAGATGGGTCTTCTCTGAGTCAGGGAAGGAGATTTACTAGAATAGTTCTACAGTTTGAACTAATTGTAGATAAGACTATACTCTTTCTCTTGATTATTTTTTATTTATTTATTTATTTATTTTATTTTATTTTTTTTTACAACAGATGTTTTTGATTGTCACTTAATTGCTTAGGCTTTTGTCCCTTGTCTTGCTTTTAAAGCCAGAATGTTTAATGGAGTGCTTAAGGGGAAATACCTCCATTCAGACTGGGCAAAAATGTTAGCTCCTCCTTTTAGTGCAGTTTAGGATTAACGTTATTATCCACTACAGCCTGTGGGTGAACAGTCACAAGTATAGTCCCATGAAAACCTGTTTCCTTAATTGCCATGAGGAATGGAGAAGTGGTGCTCTCTACCTGTGAAGGCTAGTACTGCAAACACACTGACACAATCCTGTCATCTTTTATCTTCAAAGCATGACAAATAAAGGGATGTAATGACACTGTATGTCCTGCTCCTACATGGTGGCATCAAGGATTTCTATGCATTATTCAAGGCTTCATTTTGGAAAGCTGGATAATTTATCAGTCTGGTATCAAGTTGGTGTCATTATCAAGTCAAGCAGTTCTCCATGCCAGGAGTAAATATATATTCTGCGTGTGTATATGTACATATTTTTATTAAACAGACATGTAAAAAGTCCTAACCATGGGCAAGTAGGGCTTTGTGGGCTCATTATAGATACAGGCTTGCAATCTATAGCGTCCTTGTAGTGATGGGCCTTTAGGCTTAATAGTCTGCTACATCTTAATTGTCTTGTGGACTACCTCTTCTTCCACTTAAATTCTTATAATATTCTTTGTGGTAACCAGAGGAATTGCTTGTTTTACTCTCACATTTGGTTCCATCTGGAAGGGGAAAGGAGGGGGGAGGAATACTTGCTTTCCATGCTCTTTGCCTCGTGTTCATCTTCTTTTCCCACTACTTGACTGTTTTGCTGCTGCTTTTCACCTTACATCCTTAAATCGTCCTCTTGTGACTGGTGGGCACTTCCTGTTTTCTCTCATTTTGTGTATTGCTAGCCTGAAGAAGGGCACTTGTAGCATCTCTCCTAACTATATGTTGGTCCAATAAAAGATATCGCTGGAAAAAAAACTCCCTTGCTTTTTGCACTCCATGGACTATCGTGATTTAAAACAAACCTCGAGCTCTAGAAATGTGGACAAGCAGTACTGTGAATGTTTTAGCCTTCCAAAGACAAACAGCAAATGCTCCGAAGAATACTGAAGGGCTGTGTAGACTGAAGTGTGAACTGTTCCTGGAGTACAGTAAACCTGATGAAAGGCTTCTTATGCAGTTTAAGGGCATACTTACTATGCAAGAGACTAGGATTATTTCCTAAATCTAAACTGTGAATTAACGCTGTCTGTCAAATCAGAGCTGGACAAGAAATACTCCTGTAATCAATACAATCAAACCTGTTACAATAGTGCAGGTAGATAGACCCTCCTGCACATACTCCTAACTTTGCCCAGTCTAGACTGGTATGTCTTGACCCACCCTGCAGGGGTGGAGGGGTGTGTGTGTGTCCAGTTTTGGAAGGACAAAAGCTAATGGTTCTTAATCCTATCAGATATTCAGGGATTCCTCATTGTTACAAATAATTGATGAAGTTGAATAACTTCAACCCCTTCTGTTGCTTCTTCAGAAAATAGTGTCCCTCAGCTGCAGCCTTAGAAACTGACAACTGCCCAGATAAAAATATATAACTGGTGTTGTGTAAGTGTATGATACAGGACCCAAAGGCACACAGCCAGCTAGAATACTATTCCCAACTTCTTGTCAGTGCTATATAGCTCGTTACCAGAGTCCAGGCAAAAAGAAAATCCTTGTTCCTTTGTCCTTGGTCTATATAAGGCTGTAATCGGAGGAGAGATGACAATTTATAAAGAAGGTGGAAGGAGGGCATTACAACAAAATGGGTAATGATCAACACGTTTGGCTGAGAATACACAGAAATGAAGAGGTTTCTGAATTGACGCTGCCTGAACTCATGATACACTGAGGTTAGTTCAAAGTCTGTCTGATTCCTCCTTTCTCTTGTAGATTTGGTTTTTGTTTTTTTGTTTTCTTTTCTAGAGATTACCCTTGAAAGCAAGCAACATGGTTTCCCGTTACAAGAAGGAATTTCTGGAGTTGGAAAAAATTGGGGTAGGAGAATTTGGCTCTGTCTACAAGTGCATCAAACGGCTTGATGGTTGTGTCTATGCTATCAAGCGCTCAAAGAAGCCTCTGGCAGGATCCTCAGATGAGTGAGTATACTATAATGATGGGAAAAGGAGATCCTATGTTCTTCAGGGTATTCCAATTGAATGCAAGTCTTGCTTCTGAATGTTTGAGAGAATGAACATGTCTAAGTTGCGGAAGCTGAATCTATTTCTAACCTTTGGGAGGTAGAAAGATATGGAATCTAAGTTCACAATTGCAAAGCTTCTAGAAGAGGAAAGAGGCCATGTGAATTGACTTCTCTCATCACATTGCATGCTGGCTCGCTAGTCCTATGCAGTCATTTGGCAAGAATACTACCCCCTACTCCTAATGCCTGAGACGTGAAATTTTGACACATTCAAAAGCTTGGCAGTCTCTGGCTGTGTAAGTTTTGTCTAAAAGGAGTTCTTGGCAGTTCTTCAGTGTTTTGTTTTGTTTTTTTCATTAGCCAGTAGGGGTAGTGGAGAGACCTCTACTATAGATAACTACCTCCCCCTCTCCCTCACATTCCCATTCAGTGACAGAAAACTTCCACTTCACCCAACTTATGGGTGGTGAGTAGTGGCTGGTAGAAGACTTGATCCTTTCTGCACCCTCTGGAATAAGTCAAAGTAACAAGTATTAGACATCCTCATCTGCCGAACACTTTGCACTGTTGTGTAGAGCCTCCCTAAACAGAACCATTCAATTACTAGCAGAAGGCAGGTGCTTCATCGGATGAAGTGAGCAGGAGCTCATGAAAGCTTATGCATTTCTGATTCAGCGTGTAAGGTGCATCTCAACCTTGCTTTTTGCCTGACTTCAGGCTATCATGCAAGTATAATCTCTAATCAAGTCTCAAGAATGTTTTTTCTTTTGGTGCTCTTTTCCAAAGGACTGGCTTCAGAGTTGATGCCACTTTATAAGCTGAAAAAAGGCCTTTCAAGGGTACTTCCCAACCATTCTAGTTTGGGAGCTAAAAGCACCTTCTGCCTTGTGGGGGAGAGACCAAGTTTTGCATGATCATTGGTGAGGCCCTGAAGAGTCATGTCTAAAGCACTAGAGACCCACTGTTTCTATGTTCCTCTAGGCAAATGGCATTGCGGGAAGTCTATGCCCATGCTGTGCTTGGACACCACCCCCATGTGGTATGTTACTACTCTGCTTGGGCAGAAGACGATCACATGATCATCCAAAATGAACACTGCAATGGTAAGAACTTAACTTGTACTGAGGCAGATGCCAGAATGACTTAAGTCACCCTTTTTATGTTTAAAGGGGTTAAACAACTTTTTCTTTTTTACAAGAGAAGAACACTTGAGTCAGGTTTTGGTTGATATATAATTCTATAGACCATGTGTAGCATTAAGCCTTAATGCTACAGGTGAATCTAAAAAGCTATGTTCCATATTGTTGCTTTTGGTGGGAATGGTAAAAACTAGCATATGTGATCATGGTACATTAAAACAGGTTTGCCTTCTCAAGTGTTTTTAAATGCTTACTAACTTTAGGATTCTTAAAAATACCCCTTGTTTTGAGCTGTAGCTGGTCTGGGAATGCAGTCCGGAGGCAACTGCTCTTTTGAGGTTTATGTTAAAGTTGGATATTCTGAATAGCAGTAGCGTTTGGCTTTTTTAAAAACTGCTAATCTGCTGCATTAGTGGGACATGCACTGCCAGCAAACACATTCCTTTCCCCCCTGCCCCCTCCCCCTGTGAATGGTTCAGTGCATTACAGACAAAACTACAAGGGAAGGTAAGACTAGTAAACAGTCCTGTTAGGAGTTTAAGGAGTAGTTGGCAGAGCATGGGAGAGCCTATACCTAGCCACTTGAAAAGCACTACTGCAACCCTACAGCTTGGTTAAGCTTAATGCCTGGGCCTGTAGTGATCAGTGAGTGACAACTCACTAATAAGACCTCTACACTGTGGGAGGGGAGGGAGCTAAAAATGCAGCAGTAGAATACTAACACACAGGCTGAACCCTTCCTGGCAGTGATCTTCATTTAAAATATTTTACATACGCTAGTGCAGATCAATAAAATAGTTCTGCAGCTATGTTCATGACATAGTATTTCATCATTCCTTCTATTGCTGGATGTAGCTTCATTTTCCTTGCTGCATGATCTACTGTTCTCATAGGCAGATCTTATAGCAGTGAGAGAGTGGCAGGATCCTAAATCATGTTGCGAGTGAGCAGTGAAGACTGCCTTGTTTACATTCTTGCACACATCTAGGACTCTAGCCTACCTTTTTAATATCTTTGCAAATAGGGAGTAGGATAGAAGAGATGGAGAAACCATTTTCCCTTGCCCCATCCCCTTGGGCAATGGAAAATGTCAGATCAGTTTTGGAAACCAGACTCTTTCTACACTGCTAAAGTGGCTAATTTGGCCAAGGCTGGTTAGTCTCCATCTTCAAAGTCGCTTGGCATTGGGCATAACGAACTCCAGATAACATGGATCAAATATTTTGCTTCGCTGGAAAAAGCACTTGGATCAAAGCTTGAATATTTCCATTAGGTGGAAGTCTTCAAGATGTGCTGCTGGAAAAAGCAAAAACTAGACAATATTTCCAAGAAGTGGAGCTAAAAGAAATCCTGTTGCAAGTCTCCATGGGGCTAAAGTACATACATAGCTCTGGCCTGGTACACTTGGACATCAAACCTAGTAAGTACAGCTCTTGCCCTCTCCTCAGACTTCTCATGCCTATATCCAATGTTCTGTGTAGTGCAGCTGAGGTGGGGTGTAAGGTGATAGTCTTCCTAGCCTTTAGACAGGCCAGCTATGTTCACAGATAGACTACTTTAATTATCGCAATTTAAATTTCTGTGCAGGATATTCTAGTCTCAAGTATATGCAATTTAAATCTTTTAAATACCAAGTGCACAAAACCCAAGTTCCATTATCCCTAAAACTGTACAGTTATAACTTGGAACTGAGTTTCAATGTGCTGTTCTTAAAGAGCAAGGAGATACAGGAACAATTTGCTACTCAGTAGCAAAACTAATGGGCTCTGGCCAGCAAAGGCTGACCAGTGCTGCTTGTATCCACTGAAGTGAGCATTTGTGAAACATGTTTCAACAGTGCGGATTATAACTTGATGAGGTTTTGCCAGTCAGCTCCTAATATGAAGGCTTCAAAAGTCTGATCTGGTCACTAGACGGCTTGGAGAGGTGATTCTACAATGCTCACCTGGGCAAAAATGTTTGACAATGGTTGTATTCTCTGCCAAGGACAGAGTCCCTGGCATGAAAGCTGCATCGTTGTACAGGTGTGTGAAGTTACCCTCACCAATAAATATCATTGAAAATCCCTGCCAAATCTCTTTCTGAGCAAAGGAAAAAAAATAGAACAAAATAAGAGCTCCTGAGAGAGAATGAAGTTGAGTTGGTGGGTTTTGGATTATATGGGATGATATAGAATTTCTGAATTGCCAAAGCTTTGTTATACTTGGGATGTGTTAACTTCACTTATTGTGAGCATCCTTGCATTCCAGCAGTAAAGCACATGTTTGGTATTGCGCTAATTGCTTTGGTATCATGACAAAGTTAGGAGTTTTTGTGGGGAGGAGCATCTCCAGATTGTACCAAGTAACAAGTTTACTGTCTGACTGCTTCACAGAAATACCAGCACAGATTGCTACTTCCTGGGCCCAGCTCTGACACTAACCAGAGTTTGGAATTGGCTCCAATGTAGTCCAGGGGCTGGAGCTGGCAATTGTTTGATTTCCCCCGCCTTGGTCCTGGGCCTGGCACCACAGCAGTTTCAGGAGGCTCCAATCCACCTGCCCCAGCTGAAAAAGCCCAGACCCAATTCCCTACGCCCCCCCCTCCCTCCCTCCATTCTGAGTGCTTTGAGTAAGACTGAGCTGCATTGCCCCAGCCCTGCTTCTGGCACCACAGACAGATGTTGATGAAGGTGCTCCACTTTGGAGCGTCTTCATTTGAACCCTCATGCAATGAAGGTTCAGATTGTTGTGGGATTGGGCCCTTTTAAAGCACTCTGCAACCATGTGCTTGTTTTGGTGATGGCTGTAGAGACCTTTCAGGGGCTAGATTGGGCAGAACTTGTCACTTCTCTGCACCTATTGTGATTTGGACTGAATGGCTTCTGGGATTAGAGGATCTAGTAGGAGAAACAGATGCACCTAGCACATCAAAGAAGGGTGAGGGGTACTCAGGACTCCCCAGCACTGATGCAGTAGCTAACTGAGAACTCCTCTTTTCTGGAATGACTAACCTGCTCAAAGGTTAGAAGTATGCAGGAAGATGAAGCAGGAAGCATGCAGGAAGCTTTCATTGTTTTGGGATTTCTTAGTTAAGACACTGCTGTGGTTGACACACTTTAAAAAACAACAACAAAAAAAACAACAATGAACCCCAAAAAATCTTTGGGTGCATAGTTTAGTCCAAAAGCAGGCTAACCTGTGGCAGCAGATCACTTCCACTATATGTGGCTGAGCAACTTCATTTTTGACATGCTGCTAGTGTTAATAGTGGACAGAGTAGAATGTTAGATGCCTTCCAGAGCATGTCAATAAGACTAGTCAAGTTCATACGCTGTGCTCTAGAATCTGTAAACCTTTATCTTGCAGGTAACATTTTCATCTGTCACAAGCTGACTGAATCATCAACTGCCAATCAGGAAGACAGTGATGGTGAAGATGATGGTTTCTCTTCTAATGTGGTATATAAAATTGGTGGGTTTAATCTGACTTGTGGACTGCTGAAACTGAAAGTAGGCTAATTCTAAACATGGCCCTTAATACAATGATTAATGGATACTTAATGGCTATAGGAATGTTACTTAGTCTAGATCTGCAAAGCTGATGGCTGTGGCATAGTCCTGAATGCATGAAGTAGAGACTGGTGCTTCTTGTTTATTAAATGGGGGCTGTGATGAATCCAGAAAACTTTTTCTTTGCTTGGGTTTTAAAATCAGATCCCAAACCCAACTATCTGGGGTACAGTGAAGAGATGGACATACTTCTTCAGTCTTCTAGTTGTCCTGTTGGCACCTTGCAGCTCCTTACAAAGAACAGACTTTTCCAAGGAAAATTAATCTGTGGGCTGTCAGCTGGCTTTCTAGTTATGTTTGTCTTTCTATTAGGTGACCTTGGCCATGTAACATCAATTACTAATCCTCAAGTGGAGGAAGGAGACAGCCGGTTTCTGGCCAGTGAGATTTTGCAAGAGGTACAGCTGCCGTGTGAAAGTGGTAGTGGATGGGGGGAATGGGAGCTATATGAAATGGGCTGGTTGCATTGGACTATTGGCTCTTTTGCTGTAAAGAATAACGTGAAGCTATATGATGCTTTGTAAATGTTGCAACACTCATAGGTGCCTCTAGGTAGTCTCCAGTAAAGCAACTACTCATAACTGTGTAGGATGACACTGGAAAAAGTAATCTAAAGCTCCTTGTAGATGGAACTAGAATTGCATCTGAAGTGTCCTTGTACTCGAGTCACTAATACCCTAACAAATTCTCTATGCCAGTGGTGTTTTCAACCACAGGGCTGCAGCACCCTAGAGCGCCTTGAGATCCTTTCAGGGGTGCCACAGGATGGGGATTCCAAATAGATTTCATAAACATTCTGACATATTTTGCTCTGAGTTCTTTGCAACAGAAGAATTGTTCCTATTTATTTTTCTGCACTAAAAAAAAATGAATGAGAACTAGGAGCTAGTCTTTCCCAAGACATGCCTGAAGCCTATTGAGGGGTGCCTTGAGCCTAAAAAAAGTTGAGAACCACTGCCCTACACAGTGCATACCACCACCCATACCTTCATGTCTCTGGAGGGTCTGCTCTAATTTTTAGTGGCCAAACTGTCTGATCTGTCAGACAAACCAAAGGGCGCCATCTTTTTACAAAACGGAAAAGAGAAACAGCCTGAGGAGTTGTCCACTAGTTCAGGTACTTGTCTTGTGACCATGGTTCTCCAAATTTTCTGAGCCAAGAGATCACTGTCAACTTGCACCTGTATCAAAACTCCTTTAACTAAAAATGTTGGTAGATAAGCAATCTTTCAGTGGCTTTGCAGTTTTGGACCTGTCCCGTTATGGCTATTCACATCTTTCATTCCTGAATCCAACTGGAGCATGATGGGTTGATCAGTCTTAATTCAAGTGAACACATAGGCCAAGCTATCCAGCAGTAGTCACTACTACATTGAGGGCTAGAGGCATAGATTCACTAGGGAGTCCTCTAGCCATCTTGATATCACTTCCCCAGATAAAGCCTGGAAGTTCTTTTAAGATTTGGAAGATGCATCTGTGTACAACTTGTCAATACTAATTAATATGGTAAAATGGAAGTTTCTCATATTGCCATTCCCCCCACTCGACGCTTTATTCAAAAGCAGTAATGGGTGGGATAGTGAAGGTAGCTCCATACATGTATATTTTAGGAAATACTACCCTTAATTTTAGCTTACTGAAGTATTATATAATTGTGCTAAATCCTGGATTGTATGGGTGATCTGCTATTTTCTGTCCACAGCAATATTGCTATCTGCCAAAAGCGGACATCTTTGCCCTTGCCTTAACAATAGCTCTGGCAGCAGGGGCTGAACCCCTACCTTGCAATGATACCATGTGGCACCACATCCGGAAAGGCAACCTTCCATTAATCCCTCAGAAGCTCTCGCGTGGCTTTCTTGAACTGCTTGTGGTGAGTGCTTCCAGATGCAATATGAAGGAGGGAGATGCTGCCAAGTAGCAGCTGGCAATGAAAAACCGTAAACCTGAACTCCTTCACTTCCTGTCCTAGCTCATGATTCACCCTGACCCAGTTACAAGGCCATCTGCCACGGCTCTTACTAAGCATCCAATTCTCCGTCCCTCTCTTGGAAAAGCTGCGCAGCTCCAGAAGCAGCTAAACGTGGAGAAGTTTAAAACTGCCATGCTGGAAAGGTATGGGTCTTTGGCCTAAAGGGGGAGGGCCACCCCTAAACAGTACAAGGAACCGCTTGTCTTGGTATCATAACAGTTACTGCCTCTGTTCAAGTCTGAGGTGGTGATATCCAAGACCAACCATTTGTAAATCTAATGAGTCTGATTACTGGGTGCACAGGTACAGGGAGGAGGTTTGTAGGATATGGCTGTAATTTACAAGTAGCATTAAGGAAGCAGCAATTCAGCACAGTAATGAAGCTGAAAGTGATTATTCGCCCAAGTCAATCAATTTGCTGACCTATACCCTGTCTACTTGGGAGGAAGTTGTTGTCTACAGTAATGAATTGGTGACAGGGTGAGAAATCAATGTTGAACTGGTAGTGTAGCCCAGCCCAGGGGAAAGTACTAACTGCAAGTGCAGATCCCATTTCTTTTGTCGCCTTTCAGCTGCTACTGATCCCAGCAGCATTCTGCTAAGGCTGTAGTTGTAGAATTGGGTCAGCTCTGACTCGTGTGTCATTCCTCTTAAACCAATACCACTACCTTCCCCCCCCCCCCCCCCCCCCCAGGTAAGTTCTCCCTCCTTACTACAGGCAAGAAGGCATGCACATTCTGGAAATGGGGACGACTACAGTATAAGTAGCTTCCACAAATGGAATCTAGTGCTTGGAGTTCTGACTAGATTAATGCAGGGATAGGGAAACATGCTTATTATGTCACAGGATTATTCCAACCTGCTAACCTCCAAGTATCTGAATAGAAAAGAAAATGAAATGGGAGATGCTTGGTATTAATGACGACAGACCGAGAAATCCAGTGTAGTATGGAACTGTGCTGCACATGAGAACAGGTGGCAAAAACCTAACTTCTTTGAGGGTAGAAGCTTTAAGTTGTGCTATAATTTAATGCTGGGGGCAAAGAGATCAGAATTCTGCCAGGGTTTTGTTTTGGGGTTTTTTTTTTGTCATTTGTTTCCTATGATAGCGATATATAACTAACCTTAGCTTGCCTTTGTAGCTGTGACATGATGGGATTTCTCTCTCTCCTTTTTCTTAGGGAACTGAGAGCAGCACGTCTTGCTCAGACCTTCAGGAAGGAGCAATCTTTAGGATGTGCCAGACTAAAAGAGTGCGAAACTGCCTCCAGAGAGAGAAACAAGCGCTTGGTGGGAGGGAAGAATTGTCACTCGCTCAGTTTTACATGGGGAGGTTACTAAAAACCTCAGGTTACTGAACATTGCTATGAAAGCAGAAGGTCCACATGAACAAACACACCCTGCTAACACTCCTGTAGTATTTCTTGCTGACCCCATTGCTCACAGGAGATTTATGCTGTCATAGTTGGAGAAGTGACCCATTTGTTTCCTTCTGTGTGCAACTTAACTGCAATGCCTGCAGTGTTGTCCCTTTTGAACTAGTTGCTTCTGGTACAAGTGGGTATCTTGATTTTGCAATCTCAGAGCCTTACAGGTCTAGAATACAGAGCAAAAGATAGAAATTCCCTGCTACTTACTTTCTATAGCCTCCTATGTCCAGCAAAACTATCTTGAAAGACCTTTCCTGTGGCCTAGTACTTGGAGGGCCAAAATATCAATGTAAATGGGTATTGGTTGTATAAGTAGGAGAGAGCATCTTGAGGTCTGGGTGAACAATAAACATGGCCTGTTGGAGCTGAGGGGGTTCAGCATACTACCCAGTCAAAATATGTTTTTAGCTTGGAGACAAACTTGTCCCTAAAATGTTCAGAGGGACTAGGGATCTGTGTGGAATTAAATAAGTGGCATTCCACTGAGGGGAGAAAGAGGCAAAGCAACACAACTTATTTTAGTTTCATCTGAACTAGGGCTACTTTTCCTGCAGAATTTAAAGAAACTTTTTTTTCTTTGCACAAAGTTTAAGTACTGCACAGTTCAGTTGCCAGCCCCAGGAATCTCATCTTTGTTCTTATCTGTGAGGGTTTCTAGACCAATATGGAACAGCTGATATACATTTTTAATGTTCCAATGGGTGGGTCTCTCTAGCCACTTTCCCTTCTGCTGAGTTAGAACAACTGCCTAACTGCAAGATTTGGATTTTCAACTAAGTGGAGAGGAAAATGCAAATAACTTTTAGAATCTTCAGTTTTGGGAACTGTGTATGTACAGTGTCTAAATATTAAAAATAAAATTTAATCTTATCCCCTTGATAAGTGTAACTTCCTCATATTTCTTACTAGATATCTTCCTGTCCAAATCCCAGGGAGTTTGAGCACTGACTAGGGCAGTAGAATATGGAAAAGAAAATTCTTAGCCCTCAACAATTTTAACTACTTTTAAATCTTATGGAATTTTAAAACCCAATGCTGTCTGGCAGCCAGAAGTGAATATAAGCTGTTGAGTCCTTGCCCCTTCATTCTGAAAATGGAACATGCAAATAAAGACTTCTTTTTAATCTTTCCTTTTACTGAAGACAATGGTGTTTGGATTTTTTTGTGGGAGAACTTAAGAAAAATTGGTCAGGCAAAGTACTAAAAGCTTAAAAGTGTGTCAAGTGTGGGATGGCAGTATTTCTTAGCTCAAATCTTCTCTAGTAATTTACTTCTCATTCATTAGATTGTGTACATGAAGAAAAGACTTGATCTTCTTCCATGTTCCAGGCTAAAAAAAGACCTCTTTCAATTGCTCACCGACACCTGACATCTGTGATTGCAGCCTCAGTATTGAGGGAGAAGAGCATAGAACTGAGTGAATTCAGAGCCAATCAACTAACCCCAAGATCATAAGCAATTTTAGTGAATAGTTTCCCAAGAGAAGTATTCAAGAGCAGGTTCAGACTTGATATCAGGAGGCATTACTTTATTGTTAGGGCTCCCAGCCTCTGGAATGGGCTCCCAAGGGAAGTGGTGTTCTCCCTTACCTTGGGGGTCTTCAGGAGGGGGTTGGATAGATATCTGTCTGGGGTATTATGATCCCAGCACTCATTCCTGCCCAAGGCAGGGGGTTGGACTTGATGATCTGTTCAGGTCCCTTCCAACCCTAGAAACTATGAAACTGTAAGAATTGGGAATATTTTTACTAGCTTGTTCAGAAAGCTGGCATCTCCTTAAAGTTAAAATTGTTAAAATTGAGGGTTTTTTTGCAATAGAAAAATTGTGCTATTATTTTTCCATTGTCAAATGACAAAGGAAAACTAAGAGTGGGCATTTGCTGAGGAGGATCCTGAGTCTATGCAGGAGTGCCTCAAGTCTAAAAAAGGTTGAGGACTGATGTGCTAAGGTCTCTTTTACACCTGAAAAGAAAAACAAATTTTGTGAGAACTTTGTCCTTTATTGACTGAAAAAAATACAGAAAATTTAACCATTATAAAAATTGAGGGGAAATTAAGTTACTGGATGTATTTGCTCTACTACTAACCAAATTGAAAAGAACTAATAAAGTAGCTGACATTTAAGTGTAGCCTCTTTCTGACCTGAGAATTATACCTGCTAGAGATGCACTATGATAGTAGAGTAGTTGTAGCATTGCCTTGTTAAAATGAATATGCTTCAACATTCATGTCCCACCCATCCCTTCTGGTCAGGTTTGTAGCACACACTGACAAAGCCTGACAACTGGCAGCTCCACATGTGCTCTGATGGAAGAAAGGTTACCCATCTCTGGGCAGCACTTGAGGTTTATTTAGGGTGTCTCCTTGCTCTGCTATTTCATCCTAGATCAGTGGTACTCAACATTGATAGACTTAACCCCCTTTCCCCCTTAGGAAAAGCTAGTTCTGAGCTTGTGCTTGCTTTTTTTTTGAAAGTAGAAACAGTCCAGGGAAGGGCAACAAGAATGGTTAGTGGCATGAAGGGGTTTCCATATGAGAAGAAACTAGAGGCTAGGCCTGTTCAGTTTAGAAAGGAGCTGCTTAAGGGGGAACATGATAAAGGTTTACAAAATGCTAAATGGTGAAGAGGAAGTAAATTGAGATTTTATTATTTACTCTCTCTGTCAATGCAAGAACTAGGGGTCATGAAACCAGTAGGTAAGTTTAAAACTAACAAAAGGAAGTGTTTTTTGGTTGTTTTTTTTTTTTCACACAGCATGTAGTCGAAGTGTGGAACTCATTGCCACCAGATGTTGAGGAAGCCAACAGCTTAGCCAAGATTAAAAAAGGGACTGGACAAATTCTGGGAGGAAAGGGGCATCAGTAGCTATTGAGTGCAGGAGTTGGAGATGCAGCCTCTGAATTTAAACTTTCTAGACCTTAAATGCTGGAGGCTGCAAGTGAGAGGAATAGTGGGGGAAAAAACCCTGGTCATACTTAGTTCACTTTCCCTTTCAGCATCCTGAGACAAGAGACTGGGCCAGATGGATCTATAGTCTGACCCAGGAAGTGGCAGCCCTTATGTTCTTCAAGAACTCCACAGAAGCCCAGGGTATGGCAGAATGGGTGGAAGACTCTGAATTCCTATGTGAAACCGCTGGGTTGGTCTTGTGCATCATGCTTGTACACCTTGCAGTGCTGAGGCGGCATGGCAACCCTGGGGTGCCCCAGCAGGCCACAGCCCCTGGTTAAGAATCACAGTCCTAGATGCCTGTCTGCCCTTAATGACAACCACCTGTTATGCACATGATGCAACTGCGCCATAGACGTAGACTGCCTGCAAGGGCAAAGCAATTATCACAGGAGAAAAAGGACCGGGTCTCAAAAGAGCCAACCCAGCTACAAAGCTTGGGCTTGACAAGGTGTGACAGTTTCAGTTGTCTCTGGTTTCTATTCAGTTTTCTTCTGAACATTTTTTTTTCTGCCCCAGGCGTGGGACGGGAGGAATTTTTCTCCTACCTCTTGCTACAGGTGTCAAGTTTGGTTTTTGTTGGGGTTTTTTTTTTGCCTTCCTCAAAAGTACTTGGTGTTGGCCATGGCTCGAGCGGCGTTGTGCCAGGACTTCTGGTTAGAGGGCCTTGCCCCTCCACTCAAAGTCAGCCTGATCACCACTTCTGAGAAAAGGAACAAGTTTTACCCCATGGTTAGATTGGTATGGACTGTGGAGAGTTTTGCCTTCCACTGTGATCAGGTGCACGGGCCGGTCTCTCGAGTACGTTTTAACCACACATGCAGCATGGGGACACCCACAACCCGTATCCCCCTGTAGGGGATAAGGGTAGGGTTGCCAAATCTATTTGAATCTATTCTGGGAGGCTTCATCACATCGTGTGATGTAATGACTGATCTACTGTACTGAGAAGACTTTACACCAGGAAGGCAAACGCACATTACCATTGCATGTTAAAAACCCACTGGATTACTGTATCCATTTGGATGTAACATGTAATATTTCTTTTAATGAATATCGTTTATCTCGTGGGTGACTCAGCAGTCTCCTGGAGATTTACATTGCATCCCTGTAGACTCGGCAACCCTGGATAAGGGGCGGGTTTATACGGGCTGGCTAGGTGCTGGTGGTGCTTGGGGGCAGCTTTCAGAACAGGCTCTTAGTTTGAATGGGAACGATCCAGGTTTGAGCAGGGGCCTGGAGCAGGCAGCCTGCTGAGGGCCCCGCCAGCCGTGCAAGGAGAGCGTGCAATAAAGAGATGAGGGACCAGCTACGAGCAGAGAGCCCGGCCCGCCAAGCGCGCGCCTGCCCGAGGGCCCGGCTGAGCGGGAAAGAAGATGCTGCTTTTCCTCAGCGGGGTGAGGGAGGAGGGACAACGCGGCGCCCAACCCCCAGCAGACTCCGCTGTGCGTCACGGGCAGCAGCCCCCTGCAGCCAATCCGCTCCCTTCCCGCGGCCGGAACGAGGGGGGAGGGGCTGCGTTTCCCGCCGGACGTCCCTTGCTGCGGGCCCGCGGCTCGTCCCTTCCTCCTTCCCCCACGTGTTCCCACCGCCGCGGGGAGCCAGGCGTCAGGTGCGGGTGGTCACAGGGAGCCTCGGCTCTCACCCTTTCCCTCACCCCTGCAGGTGCCTGGGTGCGGCCCCCGGGAGCTGCGGCATGTTGCGCAGGCGGGTGGCGCAGGTAAGCGGGCTCCTCTCGCGGCGGAGCTGCGGGCCGCGCGTCCGCCCCGGGGTGCGGGGCTCCGGGCTTGGACCTCGCGGCGGGGTGGTGTTCTACGGGGGCGCTTGGGCCGGATGTGTGGCTGCAGAGAGCCCTGTCTCTGTTCTGAACAGAGATGCAGCGGGACCAGGCCTTTGGGCATCTCACGGGGGGTGCGTTCATGTAACACAGATTAAAAAGGCAGAGGGTGGAGCTAGGAGTAATGGTGTTAAGTTGCAGCAAGGGGAGTTTAGGTTAGATATTAGGAAGAACTTTTTAGGAAAGTATTCCTAAGTACTGGCCAAGACAGTTCCCCCAGTTTGAACATGGGTAGATGTCTGGGAGGCACTAGACCGCCAAAGGTTAGTGCTGACCTAGTTAAAGAGCACTTGGAGGGGCTGAATGGGTACAAGTCAGCTGTGCAGGATAACCTCCATCCATGGGTGCTGAAGGAATTGGCCAGTGTCATAGCTGAGCCGCTGGCGCAGCTGTTTGAGTACTCATGGTGCTCTGACCAGGTCCCTGAGGACTGGAAACAGGCCAACGTGGTGCTTGTTTTTAAGAAGAGGAGAAGGGATGAGCTGGGTAACTTTAGGGCAGTCAGTCTTACCTCTATCCTTGGGAAAAATATGGGAAAAATCATTAAAGAGCACATTTGTGAAGACCCAGCAGGGGAAATGATGCTGAAAGGAAACCAGCATGGGTTCATCACAGGTAGATCCTACCTGACAAAATGCATTTTGTTGTGTTTGATAGATTCTGGCAGCCAGTTTGTGGGGGTACTGAAGATAGTTGGCAGGTTTTGTGTTTTGTGCTGTAGGAAGTTGGCTTTAGTTCTGGTGATGAGGTTAGGTGCTTCTTTGAAATTATAAACCATTTATCAGAGCTGGGCCTATGAACTGCACTTCATCAGCCTCCTAGGTAGTAGGTACAGAAACTCCCTGTCCCTCACTCTGTGATGCCTCCATTTTCATTTTCACTGACTGGCTTTCTTGCCTGCATTGCGTGCCAGGCCAGCCTGTGGCTTCCATCCAGGACCAGGAGACACCAACTGCAGGTACTTCCTCAACCTGACAAAGGGTTCTTCAACCCGAAAGCTGGCATCCTGGGTAGCTAAGCCGAGCACACTGGGAGCCTGACAACTGCACAGCAACCAGCAAGCGTCAGGTCTGTCAAAGATGTGACAGGTCTGGGCTTTCCCCAGCCAGGACTGTGCATGTGTATGTGTTAGCTGGAGGTTATGGCACCTCCTACCTGCCTTTCACCAGAGGATCATTGGTTCTGGCATTTATGGGGCTGCCGCACTGTCAGCAGTCCCACCAGGCCTCCCTACCCTGGCAGGGTGCAGTTTTAGTGGTCATGTCCAGGACCTGGGTCCTCCTCTTTCCCCATAGACCCATCCCATACCTTCAAGTTCGTCCTGGCAGGGGAACGAGCTCAGCAGGGACATGTTCTTTCCCTGCTGGCTGGTGATGCATTTAGTGCCCCCTCAAGCTGAGAGCGGGGCATTAACTGTTTTTTTTAAAAAAAAGAAAATAGGTGTGGATGGAGTGAGGAGGGTGGCATTCAGTCCGTCTGCACCTGGAGCTTGGGGAACCCCAGCAGCGGGAGGTTCACCTTCAGGAACACCAGCTGCTCCACCAAACCAGCATCCAGGCAGGTGCAGTGGGGTGTCACTACATCCCCAGTGATGCTGAACACCTTCTCGCTTGGCAAACTGGTCGATGGACAGGACAGGTGTTGCTGGGTAACTGTGGCCAGATCTGGCCACACCAGGCTGCAGTTTGCCCAGTAGGCCAAAGGGTCGCACAGCAGTGGCTCCACATCCTCGGCAAGATAGGCAGCCACCAAGGCGTGAGCGCTACCTGCCTGATGCTGGGGTCTGTTGGCTCTGGACCCCACCATAGAAGCCATGCCCTTAGCCCATATTGGCAGCGCGTGTGGTAGAGGACCAGACTGGCTCATGGATGGCGTGCTAGCATGAGACAGTGGATCCTCCTGTTCCACATCCCCCCACCTCTGCTATTCTGCCTCCCTGACTTTCTTTACCAGCACCTCCGTCCACTGATTCAGTGTTTGGCTGCCACATACAGTGCCCTTCACCCTTGTGTCACACATGGCGGCCAGCACATGGACTGTACTGGACCGCAAGGGATCAAGCTGTTTCCTGATGCCCTCCTTCAGCCACCTCACCAGTGCCTGAACGTCTGGTGACAGCAACCTGCCCCAGCCAGGAACATTGATCCCCTGGAAGCTCTCCACTTGGCTCTGAAGTTGCCTCACTATGGGGATCACCTAGCTAAGGAGATTGGCAGCACTGAGGTTCTCGTTGGCCTCAAGGAAGGATTTGAGGACCACCAAGATCTGGGAGATGGTATCCCACTCAGCTTTGTTCAGGGGGCCACTGATCCCGATCTCCCTGAGCTGGTCTATCTCATAGATGGCCTTCTGTTGCTCCACCAGCCTCTTGAGCATCAGGTATGTGGAGTTCCACCAAGTCTCTACATCCTGCATGATTTTTGTGCTGCGGGATGTTCAGCTCTGTTTGTTTGTTCCGCAGCATCTTGCCCCCCTTGTTGCTGCAGTGGAAGTAGCCTGACACCTTCCTGCACTTGGAAATGAGCTTGCTGGTGGTGCTGGCGCCATCACTGGCAGCCGTGTCCCCCTCCAAGGCATCCGTGACAACAAGGTGCAACTTGTTTACCACACAGCAGATGCCAACAAAGTTGGCATCACGGACTGCCTTGACCATATTGGCCCCATTGTCGGTGACCATGAAGCCATGGGTGAGTTCACCCTGCCCAGTGAGCCATGCCTCCACCAGTCAGTTCATGTCCCCCATAATCTCTGCTGCTGTGTGGGACTCATCCAGCACCTCGGCTTGAAGGAGAGCCCACCGACGGCCTGACTGGTCACACCAGTGTCCTGTGAGGGAGAGGTAGGTATGATCTTCACCCCAGCTACTCCAGATGTCTGAGGTGAAGTGTAAGGCCACCTGTGGACCTGTCTTGTGCAGCTTGTCCCTCAAGTACTCCACGCATGCTTCAGACAGGGATGGCACCACCTTTCTACTGAAGGTGGTACATGCGGGCACTTGGTATGATGGGACTGCAGGCACCATGAGCTGCCTGAACCCTGGCCACTCAACAAAGGAGAAGGGCTGGCCATCGACAGCAAGCATTTCCCCAATGCTCTGAGTAAGTTCACTCGGCCTTGCAACACGCCCCACTTTCTGTCCGCCTTTCCCCCACTGTTCCAGTGTGGCCTGCCTCTGCGGGGACGGGAGCTTTGGAGCGTGTGGGAGACGTCCCTTTGGGCACACTCCCACTGGTGCCAGACTGAGGAGCAAGAGCAAGGGGGTGGTGCCTGTGGAGATGCATCAGCATTCCTGTGTTGGTCATGTTTTGTTCCCTTGCCCTGGCTAATTTTGGCTCGGCAGTGCAGGCAGATAGAGTATGTGGGATCATTTGCCAGTTCAAAATGATCCCAGACCACACTACACGCTCGCTTCTGGGGTCTGGGTGCATCTGTGGATGCTTTTGCACTTTCCCCCTCCTCAGCAGGCAGAGGCATAGCAGGAGGAGGAGCAGACTCAGCTGAGCTGCTTGCCTCCAACTCTACATCAACCTCCTCCAAAGTGCCTTCTGAGGAAGGAAACCTGGCTCTAGGGGAAACTTGAGGGGTATGGAGCACAAACTCAGATGATTCTCCCTGCTTCCCCAGAATTTCCCTTGCTAGGGCCCTGAGATCCAGGTTCAGCTCCAACTCTTCCTCTGGCACTGGAAGGCTCAGCATGGGAAGTGAAATGGGGGTGGAGGAGACTGTCGTGCTGCTGCTTGTTGTTGTCATGGTGGTGGGGGAGGGGGGTTATGCCTGGTGCTCATGGAAGGGATGCAGTCTCAGGCACAGTCAGAAGTCTTGGGCACAGGCAGGGGCTGTGGCACTGCTACACTCTCCTTGCTGCTTGTAGCAGTCTCATCCCTTTTAGCTGGCACGCTTCATGATGTGTTTCATGTCTTCCTTTTCAAGAAATATATAAATGTATTTGCGTTCCTATATAAAGTGAAAACTGTAGGTGTGGTGCAGTGACAGGATTTACGAACCCAATTAGAAATATGTCCGCGTGTAGAAAAACTCAAAAACATTGGTGTGTTGGAAAGAATGACCGTATAAGTGAAAACTGTAGGTGTGGTGCAGTGACAGGATTTACGAACCCAATTAGAAATATGTCCGCGTGTAGAAAAACTCAAAAACATTGGTGTGTTGGAAAGAATGACCGTATAAAAACAAATATATATAGTAAATTCCTATATAGAGCAAATGCTATTGTAACCCTATCCAATATAAGTATAAGATTCAAAATAATAAATCAATGAATATAATAATAAAATAAAAGCACCTACAAGAAGGTGGTCTTCTGAAATCCCTCTTGCTAGGGTACAGGGAATCCTTTAGAAAATCAGTGCTCATAGCTGTAGTGGTCTGACAGAGAGCTGCTAGAACAGACAGCTCACTAAGTGACAGCAAAGCAGAAAGCAGGGCAGTTAAAAAAAAAATGCTGCCTTTTATGAAGTTTTTCTGTACCTCCCCCAGAGCACTGGGGTTGGAAGGGACCTCAGAGAAGGGTGACAGTCACTGGCCAGCTACATATGTCAATGAAGAGAGCACTCCTTCCTCCCCCTCCAGCCCCTTACTTTACTTTCTGTTTCCCTGTGGGGAAGCCATTAAAGGTAAGCCCAGCTTCAGTCAAAATTTGAAACGTTTTGAACTGCCCTGTTTCGTTTCAACCCTGTTTTGAGCCTCTCTGTTTCGTTTAGACTTTGCTGTTTCGAGGTCGAAATGGCGCGAAACAGCGTTGAAACAAAACAGGCAGCGAAATTTCGCACAGCCCTAGTAGCAACCTGTAAGTTTATCAAGGAAGGATAACAGAGAGTTGGAGATGCACTATTTACCAGGGCACCACTAGGAATAATGGGTACAAACTAGTGGAGAGTAGATTCAGATTGGACATTAGGAAGAAATTTTTCACAGCAAGGGTGGTCAGAATTTGAAACGGGCTGCCAAGAGAGGTGGTACTATCACCTAACTTAGAGGTCTTCAAGAGGAGGCTTGATAGACACCTGGCTGGGGTTGTCTAACCTCGGTCCTTTTCTTGCCTGGGGCAGGGGGTCAGACACTATGATCCTTTGGGGTCTCTTCCAACTCTACAATCTATGAGTCTACGAAAGTAGTGAAGCACTGGAACAGATGGCTCAGAGGTGGTGGAATCTCCAACCTTGGAGGTTTTTAAGTCCTAGCTAGACAAAGCCTTGGCTGTGATGGTCCTGCTTTGAGTAGAGCAGCAGTTCTCAACCTTTTTTTGTACCAGGACCCATTTGTAAACATTGATGGCCAGTCCTGACCCAGTAAATAGTTTAAGTAGAAAACAGACCCATAGTCCTGTTGGTGCCCCTCACTTCCAACCCACATCCCCCCATCACCCCCATCCTTGCCCAGCTGGTGCATCTCACTCCCAATCCATGGCTGCAGCCCTCACCCTCAAGCCCTGCAGGTGCCCTTCACTCATGACCTGCTGGTTCCAGCCCCCACCACTGTGTGAGACAGAGGGTGGGTGTGTGTGGCAGGGGAGTGGGTATGAAGGGGCATGTGACCCGCTTCCCAGATTTGTGCATCCACAGCAGGCATAGGTCTGCAGCCTGGCTGGACCAGTACCTACCTCTGAGGCCCAGTGGGCAGGACTAAGCATGGGAGGGCAGAGCAGGATGGTGAAACATGTTGCTGCCGGAACCCCTACAGTAGCCAGGCTGGCAGCAGTGTGAGGAGTAACAGATGGGGGCCATGCTGCCCTCACTTTCTCCCGTCGCCAGTTACTTGTGCACTGGGCTGCAGCTGTACCCTGCTGCCATGTCCTGGCCACCACTACTGCTCCCCTCTGACCACAGCTCTACCCTGGAGAAGAGGTGGGGTGGTGAGCAGCATCGCCTGCACCTCCCTCCAGCCTCACTGACACATTGTCTGCCCTCCCTCCACCCATTAGACTTACCTGTGGGGAGCTACTCTCCACACTGCCTAGCTGCCCTGTGCTTGTGTGTGCACGCATATGGCAGCCCCAAGCAACCCCTTGCAGGCTGGAACTCTGCCAGCCTGCGAGGGGAAACCTGCAGTTTCCCACGTTTTTCTCCTTGAAAGAGGAATCCATTTTCAAAGTTTGATCCATTTTGAAATTTGCTCTCAACCCTTTCATATATTCTTGTGTTCCACTTTTGGGTCACAATGCATAGGTTGAGAAATACTGGACTAGATCACCTCCTGAGGTTCCTTCCAACCCTCATTTTATATGATTCTTTGATTCAGTAGGACACTTACCACCATAGAAAGTCTCAGTCAGGAGACCAGCACCACCTCACAAGGACCTGGGTTGGTGCAGGACTGCCTGCGTTTATTGTCACATTCTCCAGCTTACACTGGGTGCTGTTCACTCAGAAGCCAAAGTTTGGTGGGATTTTTTCCCCTCAAGCTCTAAGAGTGGTGAAGGTGGGGTGGGGCAGGAGAACAGTAGATTAACAACATTTCTTTATCTTCTGTTTCAAGTGAAATGCTTCAGTTGTCCTGTCCACTTGAATTTGACTCTGCCTGCCCAGTGGCAAGTTATTTGAGATGAGAGAGATTTTCTTAATGGATTGTCTCTTCTGTGGGTCCTTGGTCTGTGGTGGGGGGCTGATAACAAAATGGATTTGGTCCCCACAATTATTTGTTTTTCTTTGGCATGCTGCAGTGATTCAAAAAGAACAGGATGGCAGAGCCTACTTGGCTGATGGAATTTTCTTTGGAGACCAGTCAAGTTATGACAGGGGTGTCAGACTCATCTGGCCCCCATGGTCCAGATTAGTGGCATGGTGGGCAGGTCTGTGGGCCAGTCCAGGACCCATAGGCAGCACCGCAGGCTGGATGATAGGGCTTCACAGGTGTCTTTTTGACACACCCAAGTGACAATATTTGTGCTGTATTCCTTCATGATTCCTTAATAGTTTGACCACTGGTTCTACCTGAACTCCCTTAGCAAGAGTTCCCATAAATCAAAGTTTCTTTCACAGAGGCATGGTCTGAGGAAGTATTTGTTCCCATTAAACCCATTACTACAGACTTATATGTAATGGGATCTGGAGAGCAGTTGACTATAGAAACCATAGCACAGTAATTCTTTCAAAGAGCTCTCATCTCAAAGCTGGAGCTGCTATTAGTTTTGTGTCTACTGCAGCTGCACCTACTCGTTGTAACACAACCTTGAAATAGTGAGATTTAAATCCTCCACCATAATGTTTGTAATAATTTGTCTATCAGAAAGGAACCTTGACTCCATAATTTGAATTCTCTTTACCATTGCCATTCCTAATTGTAGTGCTAGAGCTTCTAGTTAACGTGAATGATTCAAAACAATCAAGTCATACCTTCTGGCAAAAAACTTGCACAACTTTCTAATGTAGGTAGAAAGAGTCACAGGGGATAATTATTATATAGTTTGAAACATGTATGACATTTTATTAAGCTTAGTTGTGAAGTTTATAAATGGCTCTTCCTACACAAACCCACCCTCACCCTACTAATGCACATTTCACAAAATTGAATCCACTATTAAGAAAAGTAAAAGTTCCCTATGTGTCTTATTAGGTCTTGTGTGTAGTTTCTTCCATTGATCAGGTATACCGTGCCTTATCCTCTTCAGAAATTATGTGGAAAACAAAACGGCATAGCCTCCAACTGTGAACCTTTAGTTAGTTGGAATCTTAGTTTTTATATTTAAAGCTTTTGTGTTTTGGCCTTAGTTTAACAGCCACTGTAAACCAAATTACATGTTTTTTTAATATCAGACCAGCATATGTAGAAAATTTAATTTTTGTACAGGAAAGGTGAAGTTATATCTTCAGGAGGCCAGCATAAAAACACGCTTGTTTCATGGTATGGATTATCCCCTAGTTTAGTATCTTTGATTCAAGAAAAGTTATGAGTCATCCTTCCCTATGTTTCTGCCACCACCTTTTGATGCAAGAAATTTACCTAACCTTCAATTCTTGCTAAGGACAATTTACCTAACCTTTAGGTCTTTCCAAGGACCTCATCAGCTCTTGAGCCTTCCACCCCTAATTGCTCCTTTCTTCCTTCTGTGACATGAAAATTGCAGGCATCAAGTTTCTTCTCCCTGTTTGTCTGCTTAAGTTTAACCATGAAAATTAGATTTTGTTTTGTGGCACTAAGTTGTTTTTAGTGTTGATGGGGAAGCTGAGGCACTCACTTATGTCATTGAAGTTATATATGCAGTGCTGCTGAGGCTCTCACGTCTTTTCAGTATTTGAAGTGAAGCAGAAAAATAATGAATTTATTGAAGTCGGGTGTCTGTAAAAATATTTTTGTTGTGCATCATGGAGAAACTGTGGTGATTGTGTTGCTATGCATTTCTCAAAAGTTACATACCTTGAAGGAACATCTTCAGTCCTTTGTTTTTTCCCCAGCTGCCTATTAAAGTCCCAGCTCTGTTTAAAACACTAAACTAAATGCTTGACCTTAGTACTGAAGTAATCATCGTTTTGGCTGCTTTGTGCTGAATCTGGGCTTGCTTCCCCAGAAAATATCTTGAGACTTGAGCATTATTGCTCGCTTGTTAACAACATTTCTGTAAGCTTTCAGAATATGAGATTTATTGTGTGCCTCTGGTATTGAGTTGATTGGCCTGGAAACTAAAGCATCTCTCTTACTCTAGGTGTTTTGGCAGTCTGTAAGATGTGAATCTGATTTGGCCACCACCTCTCTGATACTTGAAAGATGTAAGTAACTCTTTTGTTATGTGTTTTGAGACCAAAACACATCTGTAAGTTTACTGTATTTCTAAATGAAGCGAACAGTGAAATACGCTTGACAGATCAGCCTCTCTTCACAAAAGAAGACCCTAAATATATACTAATGTATAGAAACCTGCATCATAGATGCATTATAAAAGACTAGGTAGATATTTGCTCCTTAAAAGTGACCCTTTTAGTGGGGGAGAAATACGTTGTGTTCCTCCTCCTCCTCCTCCCCCCCCCACTGATCATTCAGTTCTTGGCTCCTCTACTAAGATTGTAAACAGTGATATTGAATGTGTGGTATATAAATATGTAGTATAATAGATTCCTTTTACTTTTGTACAAAATCAAGAAAATACTACTTTTCCTTTAAAAACCATTAATAATTTCTGCTTTTAGCCTGTGACTGGAGGTTGCAATGTTTTGGGTTTGTTTTTTTTTTTCATTCTATATGGTTCTCCTAGTCTCACTACTACTGATCTCTAGATTTTTGGTAAGTATCTTTACTGCTTGATCTTATCTGATTTCTTCAGGTGATACTCTGTTATCCGATACACCAGTCAAACAGAGGGCAAGCATAATCTAAAGCTAAATAACACAGTGCCCACTAGCGTGCTACTTTTATAGGGCATAGCTTCTAGCTTACTTTCTAATATACTGAGTAGAAAGAACAAAACAGTAGCTTCGACTGAAGAAGGATCAGGATTTCGGTAATAAAATCATGTCGCTACTCATAAATATGCATATACATCAGAAACATTGTAAGCTCTTTTGAGTGTTATAGAAGAGATTAATCTTAAGGTGGGATTTAAAAGTGGAGAGAATAATACTTGCCAAAGGTTGGTAAGGTTTTTGGAATAGCTACATAGTGAATTAGAAAACATTATGAGAAGGTAGAAATAAATTTGATCTCTAATTAGGATCCTTACCTGTGACTGGCTAAGCATAAGCATAACTTCATTCGTGCGAATAATCCTTTTGTCGTGGTGTGCTGTGACCAGTGGGGTCCCTCAAGGCTGTGTCCTAGGGCCTACACTATTCAACATCTTCATTCATGATGTGGACATTGGTATCAGAAACAGACTGGCCAAGTTCGCCGATGACACCAAACTCTGGGGTAAAGCGTCCACACCTGAGGACAGGAGGGTGATCCAAGCTGACCTTGACAGGCTCAGGAAATGGGTGGACGAGAACCTGATGGTGTTTAACACGGAAAAAATGCAAGGTTCTCCACCTTGGGAAGAAAAACCTGCAGCAGGATTATAGGCTTGGCAGTGCTATGCTGGCTAGCACTACGGGCGAAAGGGACTTGGGGGTCATGATTGACCACAAGATGAAAATGAGCCTGCAATGTGATGCTGCAGCTAGTAAAGCGAGCAAAACGGTGGCTTGCATCCATAGATGTTCTCAAGCAAATCCCAGGACATCGTTCTCTGACTGTACTCGGCCTTGGTGAGGCCGCAGCCGGAGTACTGTGTCCAGTTTTGGGCTCCACAATTCAAGAAGGATGTAGAGAAGCTTGAGAGTGCAGAGGAGAGCCACACACATGATCAGAGGTCAGGAAAATAGACCTTATGATGAGAGGCTGAGAGCCGTGGGACTCTTCAGCCTGGAAAAGCGCAGGCTCGGATGATCTGGTAGCTACCTATACGTTTATCAGGGGTGATCACCAGGATCTGGGGGAATGTCTGTTCACCAGAGTGCCCCAAGGGATAACAAGGCCGAATGGTCACAAACTCCTCCATGGCCGTTTCAGGCTGGACATGAGGAAGAACTTCTTTACTGTCCGAGCCCCCAAGGTTTGGAATGGACTGCCACCAGAGGTGGGTCAAGCACCTACTTTGAACGCCTTCAGGAGACATTTGGATGCTTATCTTGCTGGGATCCTATGATCCCTGCCAACTTCCTGCCCCTGGGGCAGGGCGCTGGACTCGATCTTCCGAGGTCTCTTCCAGCCCTAATGTCTATGAAATCCTCTTGAAGTTAAAGCTGGCCATATGTGTAAATGTTAGTAGGATCATGGCTTCCATCCATAAATCTTTAAGGGCCACATTTTAAGTACAGTGGCATTTATAGGTGCAGATAGGTACCTAATAGGATTTTTGAAAATGATTAAGCAGGATAAGCACCACATTACCTTTGGAATCTGTCTCCGTATTGTCTTACAAAGGAAGTTGAGAATCACTTAGTTTACACAGGGGAGATTGTGTATAAATGACTTGTTCAAGCCTCTGCCTCAGCTCACTGAGGGAGGGTACAGGGCCCCACCTCCCTCCCCATGGCACTTCTTCAGGAGAATTAGCAGCATGGCACACTGGCCACAGGGGGGAGGGATGGCAGCCGGAATTTCTGGCCGAAACAGCAAAAGAAGCCCACAACCCACTGGACAGGCAGGTGGGCCACACACAAACCGCGGGAGGTGCCCCAGCCTCTCCAGCTGGCGCGGCCTTCCCCACCCAGTGCCCAGGGGCCATGGCCCCCTGCTGTCCCCATCAGTATGCCACTACACCCTGGGGTACTGTGAGAGCCTTCTAAGGTGCCATGTAATATTAGCACTGTTAGGTGTGAAAACACCTATTCATGATTCGGAAGATAAAGCCAGAGATTTCAAATTGGTTCTGATACTTTGAATTCCTTTCTCACCTGCTTTGGTCTTTCTGAATTCTTTGCAAGAGGAGAATTGCTCTGTTATTTTCCCATAGTCAAAAATAAGTGAAAGCTAAGACCTGGCATTTTCCCATGGGTGCCTTGAAAATAACAAGGCTGAGAACTGCTGAGTTAGAAATACTAAACTGATTGGCATTAATGTGTTTGGGATGAGTAACTTTCTCCCACTAATGAACCTGAACCAGTGCTCTTTAACTTTTTCAAGGAAACATCTTTTTGTTCTTGGTACAACTGAGCCCAATGTTTTCTCTCATGTTTCAGCCTTGAATCGTATCCAGTTACTTGGTCGAGTAGGACAGGACCCTGTTATGAGGCAAGCGGAAGGAAAAAATCCTGTTACAATATTTTCTCTTGCAACCAATGAGATGTGGCGATCAGGGGAAAATACGACATCCGTGGCAGGTGAGCATGTATATTTACTGTAGTGAAATAATATGCTTGGAACTTGCTTGGATGATATATTTAACACAGTGGTTCTCAACCTTTTCACCTGGCAGGCCAAACTGGCAGTGTCCGGTGTGTCTGTAGACTGGATACAACCCTTGTTCCCAATCTGGTGCCCCAGTGGGCATAGCAGGCACCATCTGGCCATGTGGAAGGAGGTGGGGGGGGCAGGCTGGCCCTAGGCCCCAACCCAGCTCCAGTGGGAGGGAAGGAGGCATGACCTGGCTCCAGTCCAGAAGCAGGAGGTTGGAGGGGGAGGAGGGAGGGGAGGGTTTAGAGCCAGAGCTCACAGGGGAAGGGGTTGCAGCTTGGCTGGGCCTGGCCTGGCCCCTGGCTTGGGAATTTGGCAGGGGGGATTATGACTGTATTAATGGTCACTGCTCCCCTCCTGCCAAATTTCTGGACCCATATCAACCCCTGTGGGCCGGATGCGATGGCTCCATGGGCTGAATTTGGCCTGCAGGCTGGAGGTTGAGCACCCCTGCATTAACATTAAATAATATCTAGACAAATTATTGGGTGGTATAAACACATGGATAGAATGGAGTTATGCCAATTTTTACTACCAAGAAACTGACTTATTTTGTATAGAGGAAGCCATTCCCCAATCCTCTGAGGTCGTTATTGAATAGTGATTTGTAGACATACCTTCCTAAGAAGGGAGGGACAGAGTGTTCAGTTACTGTTGCTTCTCCATTCCATTTTGCCATGTCAGAAGTTGGGCAGGCTTTGATCTCGGTGTACTTTCCATGGGAGATGAAAAAATCTTTGTTTAAATGCTCTCATCAGTCTGAAAACCACCCACTTTTTTTTTTTTCCTCTAGCATGTTTGCAGACTTGCTATAAACTCTGCTACTTTCAGTTTGCATGGTGTTTCTGATGCTGAAAAGAAGAGTGGAAATTTGAATCCTGTAAGATTTTCATTTCTCAGATCAATCACCTTGATTTCTTAGCTGAAGAGCTCTTACCTGTTGAAACAAATGCCCCAAATTAGGGAGAGGACTCAGCATCTGCATGTAACACATTCTTCTTCTCATGTAACTTAGGTGATATCAGCCAAAAGACCACATGGCATAGGATCTCTGTTTTCAGACCAGGCCTGAGAGATTTGGCATATCAGTATGTGAAGAAGGGGTAAGTGGACACAGAGACATTGGGAACAGAATGCCTTAACCGTCAGCTAATCGATATGCACCGGGGTGGATTAATGCAGATGTTAAAATAGAAGCATATCTTGTACTTGAAACATTAATACACACTTGCCACAGATGAGAGAGAGAGACAGTTTCTGTGTAATCTGAACATCCAACATATAAAAATAGTGATACAACTCTTGTGGTTTAAGTAATGAATTTTCTTGTTATGTTAGTGCTCGACTCTTTGTGGAAGGGAAGATAGACTATGGTGAATATACAGATAAAAATGATGTGAAGCGGCAGGCCACAACAATTGTAGCAGGTAAGGAGGATCATACATCAAGCCCTCCTTTCCTTCTTTGAGAAGGGATCAGGGAACATTGATATAAAATCTGTCTCTGTCTCATCACCAAACTCTTATCATTTGAAATTCTGAGATGATGTATCTGTAGCTGCATTTTCAATACCTGGTTTGTGCCAGTAGGTGTCACCTGACACTGTTTATGAATTAAGCTAGGTAGGAAAGGGGATAGAAAATATTTGTTGATTGCTGGAAAGTTTGGCAGAAAACAGTAAATTGCTGCCAGCGATTTTGTGTTTAAGTCTTGCATATAGCTGGGTTTCCCAAAGAATTTTTTTTTCTTTTTTTTTTCATGGAGGGCCATTTTCTGGGTGAGACAACACTCTGGGAGCTGCATAACAAAATGAACTTACAATCCAATACCTTTAGGTTTAGTAGATGAAATATGCCTTGCACATACAAAGTTATCATAAGAAGAATCCCATGTGATTGATTGCTTAGTTCAAACTTGTGAGAGACTTAGACATCTATTTTGGTTTTTTTAATTATTATTTATGTATTTTTTTCCCTGATAAAATGTGTTGGGCCATTTCTTGTCAACAAGTATCTCCTAAAACAGTTGGCATGTCGGTATCATGGGGTGTGGGGGTTCACATTCTCTGCTGGCTTACTAAACCTATTACAAAGGATATCAGTTACCTTAACAAGGATCACAGGAGTGTTTACTAAGGTTTGTTAGTCAGTGGATACAGCCTCACTGATCAGTTGGGCTTTTGTCAAGGATAATCATTTAAAAAGTCCTTTTTGAGGGCTTCATTCAAATGCTTCACAAGTTTCAAGTGGCCTGTGAACCTAACTTTGGAATCACTTGGTGCACAGGGTCAGACAAGTTCTCTTCCTAAATACATTAGACTTTTTTCATCATTCTGTCTCGGTGTTTTCAGAGAGCTTTTTTTGTTTTAAGCCTCAGATTGGTGGCTTTCCACCAACTTTTAACATTCCTTTTCTGTGCAAGGCATGTTGTGTGGGTAAAACCAGAGGGAGAATTTGGAAAGGCCTTAAGCAGGAAATGGATGGCCAAGAATATCAGAGGAAAAGTGAAGAGGCTGTACTGATTTCTTTGGATATAAACAGTAGTTAAGAAAGATGGAAAATCCTTTCTTGGCTTCTGTGAATAGCAGTATATTTGTCCTGTACCTCTAAAGATCAGTGTCCTGAGCTGTTAGGGAGTTTGTTTTGGCATTGGGGCCAAAATAACTGATCAATTTAAATGTTACTGTTTCACAGTTGTAAATGGAAAGTTGGGTGAGAGTTGAACAGGAACACATGCATGAGTGTTTATTTCAGTTGTGGATGTTCCTGAAGCTCAGTCCTTTTGCAGTCAATCCCACTGGTTTAGATGGCTCAACATGCACTACATCTGTGATATTGGCCCTTAATGACATAAGCAGAGAGCCCATCAGTCAGATAAGATAGCACTTTCTCTTTCAGTGGTTTTCATTTAAATAATGCCATTTTTACAGAAATGGACTACTTTAGAAACCACTGAATCTTGATCCAGTATGGACTTCCCGCAACCCCACAGATACAGGATGGGGGGTGATCTTGTTTGGTTCAGTGCATGCAGCCTGACCAACATGAGAATTAGCAGAAGAGAATTAAGATCCTTGTAAAAAATTCCTCTGCTGTGTTAGGTCATTCAGCAGCTTTTACCATAGCTAACATGCTTGCCTGAAAATATGTTCACCTTGAAGCAATCTGCTGGAGGGAAAGTGTCAATCAGTGTTTTGTTTCATGGGGGACACTGTTCTGGACAGCAAAGTCCTTGCAACTTGCTGCTAACTTGCCTCCAAGATAGTTACTGTGTATGTTCATATGTGTGGCAGGACAAAATGACATGCCTGATCCTGAAAATGAACTTCTCTGCTTTCTTTCAGATAACATTATTTTTTTGAGTGATCCTCTGAAAGAGAAAATGTGACGTGGTTAGTGCTTGGACACCAACCTATGCCATTCCTTTTGTTTTACCATGTTTAATCCTTCTGAAATCATGTATATTGCTATAGTTTCTTTAAAAAAATAAAACGCCTCTTTTATCTGAATAGGGGAGTATATTATATTTGGATGTTATCAGTATTTTCAGAATGTTCTCTTTCTCTTTCCTTTTTTGTTCTAGCCTAAGGAAAAAAGGATAAACCCTTGAGGGAGTTCTTAGTTCCTGAGTTAGTGAATCAATAAATAAAATGTTGCCTTTCCAAATTCTCTGGGATTTTCAGCCTCTCTCTATTGGTTGCCATCCTCTTTCATTTAAATTTTTGTCCATGGAACTGTACTTGTGTGTGCCTTGGTCATTTTTGTCCATCAGGAGGCACTTGAAGGGCACCAGTGATTTCCTCTGTTTCCCATAGTGTAGCAATGTTTGCACGGGAAACACTCCCATCCTCTTATCAGTATTGGAGGGAAGAGTCTAAAAGCCTCAGTTCAATTTGGGGGTGAGATGGGATAGGTTAAATGGAGGGCTCTTGCACTCACATCTTAGTTTAACTATCAGAACAAATCATGAGGTTTTTATTGCCAGACAGGTCAAATAATGCAAGAAAAAAGTATATTGGTTCTGTGATAAATTGTCTCTGTAGACATAATGATATTCTTTCCTACAGTATCAACTAGGGGAAGAGGTGGGGGAAAGAGAGCCTGAACAGCCTGAACTGGGCAAATTGTCCAGGTGGGGTAGAAAAGGCTGAGGCCAGTACCTGTGCTGACCACACTAGCCTTACCTGGGGACCTCCTGGGGCAGCAGCAGTGCTGATCCAGCCATTTGGAGCCTGACTGGCAACCAGAATGTGGTTCTGGCCAGCCAGGCTCCATTTCTGGTGGTGCATGCTGCTTTTTTTCCCATTAACTTTTTTAACACAGGGGTCTCCCAGTGTCTCCTTTTTGTGCTGCAAATTAGCAGCATGGCAGATGCTTCCATGTGCGTGGCATGCAGTTTGTGGTGCCTCATACTGCATATGCACTCTCATCTATATGTGCCCTCTGACACTTTTTGCAGATCTTTCCTGCTACGAGTAGACTAGTGAAACTGTCCCTTTGCTTATGTTCCCCCTAGCAACATGATGAAAAAAGTGTGTTCATTCCTGGAGAAACTTACTACTGTTATAGTTTCTGGACCTGGATGCTACAGTGACAGGCACAGTGAAAAAGCATACCTGGTTACGTGGACTGGTATTCACATCGAAGGTCATGGTAATTAAGTATTATCCATGGGGCCGAGCTGCACAGACAACGTTCCTTACCCTTTACACAGTTGTTCACACTGTTCCTTTTCCTGAAGCTGAGAACAGAGCATGCATCTTGTGGTTAGGAAGTTCTGAATCACAGTGGAACCAATGCTGTTTTTTTCAATGGCAGTAGTAGGCTGTATTACTTCAGCTACCTTATTCTTTCCTGGTTACTTAGTTTTTATCCAGCATTCATTTACACATGATATACTCCGTTAACTCTGCATGGTCTGTGCTGTCTCCAGATCATGCCAACAGAAGCATAGTCACGCTGGCAGATGACACTGACTTCATGTTCAGCTGATAGTGCAGAAAAGCAACACAGGTGGTAGGGTGGGTGTGGGAGGAGAGTTCTTGCCATCTAAAAGAGACAATCACATGCTAGCTCAGCTTGTGTTCTATGTGTGGAATTCAGCTTTTGTAAAGCATTGGCATACACATCAGAAAGTGATCATCCATACCTATGATCTTGCTGCCTAAAATAGATTCCAAACAATAAGCAGAGTCCTCTTGTTAATCCCCAAAAGGGCCAGAAACTGGCTTCTTCAGCTTGGATAAGTTGATGCAAGTGGTGCTAAAGCAAAATGCATTTGAAAAATGACGACTTAAAGCGTGTCTTTCAATTATGGATGTTAAAATGGGGAAGGTCACTGCTTTGCTTCCTTGGAAGTGGGATGAAAAGTGAGAGGGATGTAAAGGCTCTGGTCACTTCATTGTATGGAAGAGTACTTAAAGCAGAGTGGTCCAAAAACAGCTTACATAAGTCCTCTGTAATTGTCTCCGAGTTGACCTAGTTCTGGATTTGTTTTTAAAGTGCATTTTCTGTTGTCTGAGGCCCTGAACAGGCCAGACCCTAGTTCTCTTAACAATTGCTTCTCTCTCTCTCTCTCTCTCTCGTGATGGTTGCGATCTGTTGGGATGGTGTAGCTGACAGAGCTTACTGTGAAACTTGAGGGTTGGGAGTGAAACCTTCTAAGAAGAAATCCCTCCCATCGTTGAACTCTAACCAGGGGTAAGCAAAAGGCTTGCTTGGCTTGGGCTAAATGTGAGACTTGCCTCTGTGTTTCCCTTAATAACACTGACTGGAGAATGGCCTACGTGCTGATGTCTACCTACAGCTTGGGATCAGGACTTGACTAGCCTAGGGTGCAGGAGTATGTGACCAAATGTAACACGTGTTCAAATGATTTAATTTTTTTCTGATCACACTGGTTAAAGTTACTAATCAGCTTCTAAAGAGGTTATGGTGTAAGTGTTCCATGTCTGATGTGTACAGTTTGCCACAGAAGAAGCACTTAATAGCTTGGCCATTCACAGAGTCTGGAACTGGATGCTGTAGCAACGATGACCACACATGCAGACTTAAAATCTAAAATCAGCAAAATATCCACCACTTCCTTGAAGACAAGTTATAATTAACACCATAAAATTTTAATCAGTGAAGAGTATGTAAAATCAACACACACACATCACCAGCTTATTCCTTATGAAAACCTACTTGACAGAGATTAAAGGAGGGTAGGTGGATCTAGCAAGTTTTAACATAAAAAAAGAACTGCTTGTAGCAAAGTACTGTGTACCTTCCAGTATTTTTCAGTGAATGGTTTTTTTTTCATATGACCCAAGTAACTTTTTGAGTAACCAGAATTGGACAAACCCTAATTGGCATCTGTTTGATCTCCTTCCTGAAGCATTTTCCTTGAAGAGGAATTACTGTATTTATAAGAGATAAGAGAGCGTTCCAAAGAATGAGGTGTGCTGTAATAAACTTCGGACATTGCAAAAGTGTGGAGGATTTCATAATGGGATAGACAGAGCTGGAGGACTGCAAGCCAACTTATTGACACTTGATCAGTCAATCTTGGTGTTTCTGGTGTGGGGGGGAAACCTTCCACCTCCCATATTTATTTTCGGCTGTTACACTTGAGTTGAAGGGAAGCTGTGAACATGGTGCTTGATATAATGTTTTGAAAGCTCGTGGCAAAAAATGCTTTTGGTCTTTACAAAAGTGTGACTTGCATTGGAGAGCAGAGCTCTGATTTGTCCATCTCCACATATGGAAAAACATGAGGGGTGCTCAAAAAAAAAAAAGAAGCAAGTAATGAGGTGGGACTGATTTTTTTGGCAGAAATATCTTCTCTAGCTTCTGTTTCATGATTCATTATTTATGATGGTAATTGGAGTGCAAGCTGACAAAGGGAAACTGTGGAGGGCTTGGGACTAGTAAAGGGATATTCAAACCTCTTAGTCCAAAGTCTCTAGTTCAGGGGCAGGCAATTATTTTGGGCGGAGGACTGCTTACCCAGTTTTGGCAGGCTGTCGAGGGCCACATGGGTAGCCCCCTTGACAGGTGCCCCACCCCCTGGTCACCATCTTGGGTCCAATGTTCCCGGGCAAGCACTGATGGGGCCCAAAGTGGGGCACAGGCGGGCAGGGGTCTGTGGAGCTGGGCTGGGCTTCACCAGCAGGGAGAGGGGGGAGCTGGACCCTGCTGCAGGCACTCATAGCCCACGCAGGGCTGTCTGGAGCAGGCATAGGCAGCCCCACGCAGGTTACAAGTAGCTACAGCGTGAGGGGCTGCTTTTCCCCGCACTCAGCACCAGCTTGTAACCTGGCCCCACTGCCAGCCTGGGCTCCAAGCCAGCTCCAGGCTCACCTGTTGGCAGCAGCAGCTGTGGCCCCCCGCTTGCTGTGCCGGGCAGTGTTGGCTGCTGCTCCCCGCCTGGAGCTTGCGTGCTGGGCAGCCCAGAGGCAACAGTGGCAAACACCAGCGCAGCAAGCGGGGGGGGGCCGCAGCTGCTGTTGCCACGCGCAGCCCCGATGGGCGAGGCCAGAACCAGCGCGGGGCCTAGGCTGGCAGTGGGGCCAGGTTACAAGGTGGTGCTGAGGGGGTGGGGGGGCGGGGGGAAGCCCTCACCTGCCCCATGCTCAGCGCTGCAGCCGCTCACAGCCTGCCTGGGGCTGCCTGTGCCTACGCCTGTGCGGGCTGCGAGCAGCTGCAGCGTGGGGCACTGGCCATGGGGTGGGTGAGGGGCTGCTTTCCTCTGCACTGGGAAGGATCCCGGGGTAAAGCTGAGCACAGGGGTGGGGGGCACTCCCTGCTGCAGCCACTCGCAGCCCGCAGGGCTGTCTGGAGCAGGCACAGGCAGTCCCATGTGGGCTGGGAGTGGCTGCAGCGTGGGTCACCGGCCATGGGGCGGGTGAGGGGCTGTTTTCCCCATGCTCAGCTTTTCCCCGGGCTCCTTCCCTGCCCGGAGTCCTCCCCTGCTCTCCCCGCCTCTCTTCCCCTTGCAGTTCTGGCATGGGGCAGCTATGTGGTCCCAAGCCAGAAGCCACAGCTGGGCCCGGCCCGGGGCTGGGCAGGTCCTGCTGTTGTGGGAGCCCGCCAGGCTTCCCCTGGATCCTACTGCCCTTGGTTCCTGTCATTTTTGACAGGAACCAAGGGCAGATAAATATTTATTTTCTAAATTTTTTAGGGGCCCTGCGGCTGTATTTTGCCCACCCCTGCTCTAGTTTGAATTTAACCCAGGATACTAGTGACAGAAAGACATTGCATTCTGATGATGGTATGATGGTCTGTGTGAAGTTAACTGGAATCTTGGTGTAGATATTACTAGTCATAATAAGGATCACAGTTGGCACTTGGGTACAGAGGCACCTGGATCATTTGTATCCAGGTAGCTCACAACCCACTTATTTCACAGTGGGGTGTTGAATTGAGAATGGGCCACTGCATCTTTTATTTTAAAGCTTATTCCACTCAACTAGACCTCATCAATGGCTCCATGCACTTGTTTGTTGTGGTTGTATATACTGCTGGCTGGTATATAAACCTTCATCTTTACAAAGGAGTAAGGAATAATCCTGTGAAAAATCTGAGTTCTACTGTATAAGTAAGTCTTCATAGATGGGGCCATTATCTGCATGGGCTGAGAAACTGAACTGGGCCTCAGAGAAGTCTCTAGAGGTAAGAAGTTATACACTTTAGTAAAAGGAGCTTGTCTTTCCATCAGTGTGCCTCTTATGTGGTTTTAATAGAAAACTGTCTTCACAGTATGGTCAGTCCCACAGCCTTCATGAGTATTAATTTCACTTCAGAAAAGGGGGCATAATGCCAAGTCTGTGGGAAGAAGAGCTTAAAATAAAAAGCATGCCTAAAAATATTGTAAGTTTGAAATTTCTTAGGCTCATAATAGTGAAAACCCTTTTGCTTAGAAGTTGAGCATGTTTGCAGATACCAGTCAAGACTCAGTCTTGTCAACCATATTTCATACTGTTTGCCTCCAGTAGAAGCTTTGTGCTTTTCCGTTCAGCTCTGATCTCATCTACACAAAAAAAATATGCTTTCTTATTGTAAAGTCTGTTACTGTGCAACACCAGTACCTTTGCTGCCACAGAATAAGTATATAAGGACACCACCCATTTTCAGGCAGTCTCCAAAGACAGCACGCTGTACTGCAAGAAATGCATATGAAAGGGCATAAGATTTTTTGCTCTGCTTTTGACTTATTTTACATTATAGGAAATCACTCATCTTATCCTGGTGCTTTTTAACAACAAAGCAATCTAAGAGCTGTCAATCAAACTTGATAAGTGCATACTTCTTGGAAGTGTCATTGTTTCTAGTTCTGAAGTTTCACTGTATATTGTCTTTCACCTTTTCATAGATTTCATAGACATTAGGGCTGGAAGGGACCTCAGAAGATCATCGAGTCCAGCCCCCTGCCCAAAGGGCAGGAAGTCAGCCGGGTTCATAGGATCCCAGCAAGATGAGCATCCAGTTTGCTCTTGAAGGTGTTCAATGTGGGCGCTTGAACCACCTCCGGCGGCAGGCTGTTCCAGACCTTGGGGGCTCGGACAGTAAAGAAATTCTTCTTTATGTCCAGCCTGAAACGGTCTTGTAGTAGTTTATGACCATTCGACCTAGTCGTCATCCCTTGGGGCGCTCTGGTGAACAAACGTTCCCCCAGATACTGGTGGTCACCCCTGATAAACTTATAGGTGGCTATCAGATTACCCCTGAGCCTGCGCTTTTTCAGGCTAAAGACCCCAGAGCTCTCAGCCTGTCATCGTAGGGTCTGCTTCCCTGACCTCTGATCATGCGCGTGGCTCTTCTCTGGATTCTCTCAAGCTTCTCCACATCCTTTTTGAATTGTGGAGCCCAAAAATGGACGCAGTACTCCAGCTGCGGCCTCACTAAGGCCAAGTACAAGGGGAGAATGACGTCCCGGGATTTGCTTGAGAACTTTAACCCATCCGGGATAAAATTATGGTGACTTGCACGATTTGTATTGCTATAAGCTCCTGCACAGAGTATAACAGTTGCAGCAGCTTCTCCCCACCCCACCCCACTTTTTAAAGTTGCTTCAAGTATATGTTTGTCTATGTCCAGAATGGAATTTTTGCAACAGTGCATCATGTCTACTCTACTTTTACTAGGGAATAAACATATTGTGCACCCAAAGTCTACAGACCTCTGCCATCCCATTCCATGCATGTTCAAGTTAAATGCTATGAGTTGTAGTTACTAGCTGCCGTGGTGAGCATTCATATTTCATCCAACACTGATAACCTTTCTATGGTTAACGCATTATGACGGGGGGGCCAACCCGAGGCACAGGCAGCCACTGCGTAA